CACGACGTGCTGTAGTCCAAGATTTATGAGAAATGTGATATCAAACCTACTGAGCTTACCAGCAAATATGTATAGGGAATGGTCGATATTTACAATGACAGTAGCTGTGGAGTAATGGTACAATTGGTCTGCTTCTGAGCTTGGACTGCTGGGGGTATATAAATGTTGGCTAGCAAGATTGAGCCGAATCCACTAAGATCTTTTGGTGTGCACTCTAGAACTACTCATTACATACACTGCGAATAATAGCAGATTTTCTTTACTGCTGAGCTACAGAAGCGTTGATAAAGTTGCTAACACCACGACCTCGGTTGCGGAACGTGCATGGAAGATCGCCACGGTGGAAAATAAAATGGTCCACTGCTACGATAGCGCCTTCAACATATTTGTGAAGCCAGGTTTCCTGTGGCATAATTACTCCAATCCACGCGTATTCGCGACAGCAGATGTTGCTTTTAAGTTATTCCAATTTTCAACGGAAGTGAACGGACGTTGTCGCTCATAAAAACAGATATGCTCATACCCGACAATTTTTTCTTTCGCAGAGCAATCCTCCATCCAGCAAAATGGCACAACGGATTAATACGCGCAAAAGTGCTAATGCTCAACAGGTCCAGTAGGATGGTTATGGCGGAAATGTAAAACAGAAAGCAATATGATTAGCAACGTTGGGTTTACGCTCGTGAACTCATTGGGGTATACGTAGTGTAAGCTGTAAATCCAACGGTAATCCATAAGGAATGACGGCAAATTGGATGTTAAAAAATCGCGTCTCCTCCTGGTGTACACATACAGGAAGTGCAAAAGTGGAACTAAATATGGGATTTGACCGCCAGTGAAATCTCTTACAGACACTTGCTTTTATCCATGAGTAATGGGTCATGTAAGATGGTGCAGCGAAATAAGTGCACAGTCAACTCGGGCTTTGAACTCTGCCAGCGTGGGAGCACATATGACAGATTCCGGTAGGGCAGTCCAACTTCTGTAAACGCATACGGAAAAATAATGCCAACGGTATTTCAAACAATTGTGCTGCTCTCTCAGCTTGAGATAGTGGCCTCTCAAATTGTTGTTGCGAATGAGCTCTAGCAAGTAGCGACACGTGTGATTGGGATCTCTCAAAATCTGGCAGGTCAAAATGAGGTCCTCGCGCAATCGCCGATACTGTCGGTTGAAGACCCCGAGCACTTGATGCCTACTTTCAAACGCCAAATTATACAGACCATTGCCATTAGTTGACATTGGTTGCCCGGCGTTGAGGTATCACCAAGGCCATGAGATTTCTCCTCAGCCATTGCTGCCAGACCTGTGTTACACATTCCACCAGTGACCCTATTTATGAACCGAGAACTTGTTGAGAAATTGATGGGTCGAATCCTCCAAATTCATGATTCAGGAGGCCTACTTATTGGATGACCCTCCTTGAGGCCATTTCAGCTTGTTTCGAACATCAAATGTCGGCCTAGACAAAACTTCCAGATCCTTCTCTGCAGAAGATGTTTGAAGCCTCTTCTTGCCGAGCTTTCGGAGTAGACCAACTAGTGCCGTAAATGTAGCACTCTACCTTTGTCGACGTTGAATCGAAGTAGAATCTGGGTTGAACACGCGTATACCATATCAGCTTGGATTACTGTGATATCATCTGTTTTATTGATCACCCACTACACCTTGATCTCCTCGGCATAAAACTGGCAGTTCGAGCTGTTGAGGCGTATGATATGGTTAGTATACGCCAAAAATAATCGCGATCTAAGTACCGATCTATTTGGTACTCTGCATTCAACTCGGATGAGATCTGACGGGGATTCACACACTGGTACTTCCAAGCGCCGGTAAGGAAGGAAACTTTTGATCCATCCTAGGAGTAGATCATAAATACCAAAGATCTGGAGTCTAAAGAGCAGAATATCCTGATATAACCGAGTGAACGATATAGAGGAGCCTCGGAAAACTACATCAAATCTTGTGCCAGAGTTTGCTGCTGGATGGGGCTAATGGTAGATTTATATTCACGATCGATTTCGTCGGACATTATGCTGGTCCGGTTCGAGATAGTTCAATTTTTCTAAGTAGGTCGTTAGCGCTTCAGTACTAAAGACTTCCATGACCTTTGAAAGCACCGGTATTAAGATTATGGGACGGTAATTCACTGGATTGGAATGACTAACTCCATTGTGAATAGGAGTAATCATCCCTTATTTCCCCATGTCGTGCAAGCTCATTTTGTTCAAAACAGCTTCGGAAGAATCGAGGCTTAGAATTAGCTAACGTGTCTCATCCCACTGCCAGAGATTTCCTGTGTATATCCTCAACTGTAGGAGAGCTGTGTTTGTGCATATTCAACAGCTTCTTTGATACAGCTTCTGCCCTGAAGGATATGTGAGTGAGGTTGGAGTTGAAACAACCATTGTCATAGGTCACTGGTCGCACTGAAAATTTTCAGACCATCCTAGGCGTAGGTTACTCGCCGCATCCTTCGGTGTCCGTGAAAGTATTTCCTCTGTTTAAAGAGGACGAATTCCCCGTTTCACCTTACGTAGACTGCTGACGTGTTGATACAGAAGCTTGTGATTTCAGGCATTACGCACTACCAAGTTCTGCTGGTACGCCATTCGATCCATGCAAACAAGCTGAGTACAATGGTTACTTTGGGTCGCATAGGCCATCCAGTTCTTGGTGTTCAGAGAGAGCTTGTAGATATGCAAGGCTGAGTTTCGCACAGCTATACACTTGCGTGTCCTGCTTCGCAGAAATAAGACCACGTTTCTCGGGCGGAAAATCTCAGTAGCTGATGCTTCGGCAACCAGAGTTAAACTGGCTGACTTAATGTTCTCAAGCATTATCTGCTGCATCGTCTGCCAGCAAGGTCCATTTGGCCGTCTCACATAGTCGAGCTAATACCTCGTGGCGTATAATCGTTTTGGTTGTGTCGGCATTTGCCTAGGGATATTCTACATAGCAAATGTATTCGAAGAGTAGGACAACTTGATCACTGCGACTGAAGATGACATCAGTGATCATCCTCACGAACATTAATTCTTCTTTGGTGGTTATCTGATGCAGTATTGATGGCTTATCTATTTCTCTGAATCCGGTAGGAGTATTGATGTGGGCATACAGCGGATAACTGCAGACAAACTCTTTTACATCGGCTTTAAACTGTAATCCGGGTGCTGCATACGATTCCAGAGCGTGGATGTTGAAATTGCCAGTAATGTGAATGTGACTGTAACTTGTGTTTATCACCCTCCTTACTGCGGATGACAGATAGAAGTTCAACTCTATCGGGGAGGAAAGAGGGCGCAATATGACCGTCAATAAACAACTGTCATCGCATTTTTAATCTACACGGCACTAAAGCGAATCACGTACCATTTGGACCGGATCCTCTATGAGCTCACATTGAAGGTCACTGCAGAAGTACAGAGCCACCTTTCCATTTTTGCTGGATAGGTCGTTCTGAACAATGTGCATGCCTGGCAATGCGATCTCCATGTCACTTATGTCAGAACGCA